GATGTATTTGTGTGTTTGAGATTGCTTAGCAGGGCTGTGGGAGGGGTTAATTGTGGGGTTTTGTTTTCTTTTATTACTACTGGATAACATTATTTTTTTCCTACTTGGTACTGACACATATTAACACACTTTAAAATAAAGTAGTTCCTGTCAGCTGCTGCAATCATAGTCATTTGCAAGCCCAAAGCTTGAAAAACCTGAAATATTTAAAACAATGTTGTTTTTATTAGCCAGTGAAGATCAGGCCTTCCAGACATAGGACTAGCAAAACTTCTTCCTGTACCTCTTGCCACATTTTCTTCATTCCTCTTAAACTAGAGAGTATATGGAACTTCTAGAAGGTTCTAATAACTACTAATGGGCTACACACACAGTATTTTTATGTTACTAGGTTTTGCTTTCTATCTAGTTTTTTAAACAGTTTTATATTGCTGATGTTTACCTTCTTATTATTTGCCCTCTGGTGAGGTTTTGTTCTTCTGTGATCATTTACTCATTTCAAATTCATTTGATAAGTGAATTTCCAAAAACCCTCAACTCTTCTGTGTTTGTCTGGATTTTGGACACCTCTGATTTATAAAGGTCATTCTGGACACGGGTCAGGTTCATTCTTCTTCAGGGGATATGAAGGCTTTGATTAGTAGCCTGTGGGTCAGTCTGCTTTCCAGCATGTTTTTCTTGGGGTTGGAATCATAGAAATAAATCCAATTTGCTTAACTGAGATGCTTCACTCCTCCTCTGAAGGTGGTTGTCACGTTTCCCACCAACGTCCTATTTTGACTTTGTTCTTTTCATTGCGAGAGTAGCTAAATATGCAAGGTTTAGGAATAACCTTTGGAATATTGCATTTGATTTGTTTTTGGAATTAGAAAATTCAATCTAAGCTTTATAAAAGTCTCTGCTATCTCACAAGCCATGCTTAAACTCCAGTCTCTAAGTTAAGTCACACGAAGTGCCTCTTTGTTGTGCCACGGGCCAGATCTGGTGGGTCCCAGCTGTGGAGTCCACAGCAGCAGATGCGACTAGACAAGAGCCTATTGCTTCAAGCAATGGCATCTTGCTGAATTAAGGAACCAGACTAATAAGGATTTCAAAATATGAACCAGAGGATGAATGGTTTCAGATGAGGATACAGGGAAGCAGTAAATGTAGGGAAATAGCAAACTTATTTTAAGGAAGCGCAAAGTTATGTTTCCAATACGCTCTACCAAAGTGGCTGCCTCATAATAACAACAGTAGCAGTCACTTCACTTACTCCATAACTTACCGAGCTCTTTCGTTTCAACTCTGATAGACAGTTATGTCCCCATCAAGTAACCTTCAATCTGTGTCTGTTCTAAACACTATTTTATTCTCATTTTGTTTCATTTTTTTAAACTTTGTGTCTTAAAAACAAAAAATTTAAACTTATAGAAAAGTGGAAAGAATGGTGAAAGAAACTGAAAATATCCTCACTTAAGATTCATCAGGTGTTAGTATTCTGAACATCTGTGTTTGCCTTCAGTAGACGATAGACAGATGATAGGTAGATTGATTGATGTGTAGGCGCGTACACGGTGTAACTCAAAACAGAAGCTAGAAAAATAAATAGCTCTCTCTCCGTGTGTGTGTGTGTGTGTGTGTACTATTAGAGCACATATGTGTGTCTATGTATTCTCTGATAGCATTATATTTGTTTGAAAATCCTTCTAAACAAATATTTGTTTTAGAAAAGTATATTATGGTATGGTAGTCTGTGTGTTCATACTGAAAATAATTTCTGAGTGAAGATTCTCACACACTCTGTATTTTCATTTCATAATAAAAAACAAAGCAACTAGCGGTGTGAATTATAGGGCTCCCTTTATATGTTAGTGGATATCTTAATAACTTTTTTTTTTGAGACGGAGTTTCGCTCTTGTTACCCAGGCTGGAGTGCAATGGCACGATCTCGGCTCACCGCAACCTCCGCCTCCTGGGTTCAGGCAATTCTCCTGCCTCAGCTTCCTGAGTAGCTGGAATTACAGGCACGCGCCACCATGCCCAGCTAATTTTTTGTATTTTTAGTAGAGACAGGGTTTCACCATGTTGACCAGGATGGTCTCGATCTCTTGACCTCGTGATCCACCCACCTCGGCCTCCCAAAGTGCTGGGATTACAGACGTGAGCCACCGCACCTGCCCAATAACTTTTAATAATATGACAAATTTAATTATAATATTTAAATATTTATATAAACATTAAATATATATTAAATATATATATAAACATTAAATATATATATAAACTTGTTATGACCATTTTGTTTAAAATTCCACACTAAGACAATCTCAATAGAGAAAACAGGCAAAAACTATGAAGGGAAAATTTTACAGAAGAGGAAACCCCAAAAGCCACCAAGAATGAAAAGGTATTCTGTTTGTCAGTAAATAGAGAAACACAAGTTCAACAGTAATGAGCTATTACTCTGCACCTATCATATTAGCAAAATTTTAACACTAGATGAGGCCAAGTGTCCTTGTCATAGCTGACTGGACCAAGGCACAGGGCGGTCCAGATATAAAGCTGCTGGCCACATCAGTGGTATCTCGTCTTACTCAGAAAGATGGGCTGGAAAAACCATACTCATCTCTTGGAAATCTGTGTTTAGCACATTTTAAAACAAATAGGTTCTGAAGGAGAATAACTGACAGGGGCCTGGGCTAGGGCAGCGCCACGCTGATGGGCCCCAGTACACGAAGTTACAAGGGGAGAGGCTTAGGGCAGGCGAAGGAGCCAAGAGCACTGGAAGCAGAGCTGCAGCTCTGGAGTGATGTGGGAAGACCAACGGAGAAGCCGGGAGCCAAGCTGGGGGCAAAGAAGGGAAAGGGTTTAGTCTCAGGTTCTGCCAGCTTCCCAGTTCCATTCAGTGCGGCCTCGGGGGGTTCCAGTTCTCTTTGGAGGAGCAGGAATTAGAGGTGTGGGGGAAGAGGAGATATGAGAAAAGGGATGAAGGCCTTCGAAATTCTGAAGGAAAATGACTTCAGAGATTTTTTTTTTTTTTTAGTAAAAAACAAAGACAGGGTCTCCCTCTGCTGCAAGCTGGAGTGCAGCAGTGTGACCACGGTCACTGCAGCCTCGCCCTCCCAGGCTCAACCAGTCCTCCTGTTGCAGCCTCCAAAGTAGCTGGGACCACAGTGTGCACCACCACACCTGGCTAATTGTTTGAATTTTTTTTTTTTCTTTGTAGAGATGGGGTCTGTTGCCCAGGTTGGTCTCAGACTCCTGGGCTCAAGTGATCCGCCTGGCTCAGCCTCCCAAAGCCCTGGGAGTAAGTCGTGAGCCACGGCCAGAGATCCTCATACCTTGCCAAGCAGTCAATCAAGTGTGAGGGTATAGAGACATTTTCAGACACACAATGAAAAGAACAGCCCCCCAAAACATCAAATGAACCTAGAGTTTTCCCGACATCCTTCTGTAACCTGCCAACATTTTCTCAAAATCTCTTGAATTCTTCTGAAGTGATAAGTCAACAAATGTGTGACATTGAAATGGGAATTAAAACACAGACTTCACCATCCAGTCCTCAGTACCTCTTCATACAGAGCTGTAGGTCCTCACTCAAAGGTACTGAGAAACTAGACTATTTCAAGCATGGAAGGCAAAGAAGACATGGCCAGGAGCTGCCAGAACAGTCTGGGAGTCAGACCTAGAAGGAGAATTCCTAAGAACTCAGCAGCGCATGACAAGGCCTGTAATTGCAGAGGTGGACCCCAATACAGGCGAGGCATGGAAGACGTCGCTCATACTCCACCTGGGAGAGTCACTAGTGAGGTGGTCATTTCGGGCCAGGTGTTGAAAGACAGAGGAGCAGGTAAGGATGGGGGTTACAGTGCTGGGGTGAGGAGCAGTCAGACTGAGAAGCTTTTCAATAGTAGCAGCATCTGCAGGGCAAGGAAGCATGAAATGGTGTGTAATGCAGGATTCTGAAATGTGGGCAGTGAAGAGGAGAATGGGAGGCTGAGGGTGAAGGTGGGGGCACACTCAGCAGCAGCAAATGCAAGATAACTTCAGGGAAGGGAAGTGCAGTGAGAAGAGGCAGACTGGCTTGAGGTGATCTGAAGGGGTGAGAACTCTCCCCAGCAGGAAAGCTCCACCCACTTGTCTTCAATGGACTGGCTGATCCTGGGCACTCAAACCTACCTAACATGAATCTGGCTAGGGAGGAAAGGGAGCGGGCATCCCCAAATCTACATCCACAGGATTCCTACACGGTCAAAATGTGGGGATTAATACTGAAGGTGGGAGTGTTAACATGGGTAGAGAAACGCAAACCTAACAGAATCCTAAATCAATGACTACTTAGCAAATAAAACATCTGTATTTGCAAGTCCAAAGTGCGAACATAACTCTTTCAAACAGATTGTTAGAAACAAAATTAATGGGACAGTGCCTTGGTGGCCAGACGGTACCGAAAAAGAAGAAAAGGCTGGGGGTTTTGCAGAAGATTTAAGTTGTTAATGGCATTAATCATGGGAGATTCCCAGAGGAGGTGAAATTTTATGGAAGGGTGGAATGTGAGCCACCTTACTAAGGAAGTAAAACTATTCTTGCCTTGAAGGTAATGTTTAAAGTCAAAGAATTTTTAATTAGGTTCCGGTTTTTTTTGAAGAATTCTTAATTTACAAATAAGATTGAGTTAAAGAATCATTTTCTGCAGTAAAACAATGGAATTTTTTTAAAATTCTATTTTAAATTGCATAAAAAACATCTTAAAATAATCAGATGAGTCGTAAGCAAATGGATAGATCTTATTACAGTAGTCTACCTGATTTACTTACTATTCTGGCCCTACAGAACAAAGCACAGGATTTAGTTTAAATTAAGTGGCTACAAGATTATCATTTAAAAACAACTTTGCAGCTCTGCTCTGCACTCATTATATGACTGGAAGGTAGGACTTTAGACAATGCTTCCAGTTAGGGTCTGTCAAGTGATTTGCATGTTATTAACCTGGATAGCCATTAATAGGGCTTCACTTCCTCTGTTTCATACATAGCCCTGGCTTAGATAAAAAAGAGTTCTTCAGGAGAGCGGAAAAATCAGAGCACTTGTACTATCCGTGAAATGTGTAGAAGGATAACAGAAGCTACCCTCCTCAAAAAAAATGATGAGTTTGATGAAAAGAAATTAACAAGCTGTGTGGGTGTGCTGCACATGATCAGCCATGCCTGCTAAGTCTGTCTGTTGGTTGTTGCTATGGCTACGAAAAGCCAGTGGAACCCAATGAGCTGTCTGCAGCGGTGCTGAGAGGACCAGCCATTTTACTTATGGAAAACAGTGTGGCATATTCTGCTGAGCCTCCCCCTGGAAGAAGCCTCTTTTATACATCTCTTCGGGGAAGACAGAAGCAATGGGCATATTAATACACAATGATCACAGCCACGCAGGCCTGCAAGCTGCCATTTGGACAGGCTGTTGACTGCTGTTCCAATTAGCTGATTGGAGAATGTGGAATGCAGAGTGATAATGCTGCGTGTCTGCTATCAGGCAGCAGCAAAGGTTTTTGTCTTGGGAAGGCAAGCTTTCCCTGCAACATTATCTCAGCAGCTCCCTAGCCGCTCACCCTGAAAACGAGGGATCCAAACGGAGGCTGTTGCCCTCTGCTGAGGCTGGTCCTGTGCGTGGCTGTGGCATATGAGCGGCAGGTCTGAAAAAGCAGGTGTGTGCTCGGACGGGCGCTGGACTGGAACGCAGGCGGACGCTCCCCAGTTTACCTGCTTCCTGTTAACAAACTGTGGGCTCCCAGGGCATAGCCTGCAGGCTGAGGCTGAGGCGGAGAAGGGGCTTCCCACTACTCTAACAGAGGTAAGCTTTTTTGACCTTTCTGAAAGCACAGCATAAAAATAACTGGGGCAAAACTCAGCGTGAAAGATTTACATCGATTGTGTGGTTTGGATTTACCAAACAAACAGACACAGACACATCGACACACACACATTTCTAGAAAATAGTATCAGAGGCATAGAGTTGTTTCCGTGAATTTTGGTTCTAACAATTGGAAGATAAAAAACATTGTTGTTATGCTGTGGGGTTTAAAATAAGTATCTGCTGTTTTAACAGACCACGATGGCTTGTTCTGAACCCTCTTCGCAGCCAACAACATTTCTCGCTTGCGAACAATGGATTCTTTTGTGACCTGCACTTTGACTTATATTCAGAGAACTCCATGGAAAAGCAGTGGCACATAAATTGTGAAGCATTTCTTTTTACGCCTCGAAAATGATTTATTTAACTCTTAACACACCTATGTACACGCTTAAAGAATTCTGTTCTCTACGTAGGTCGTCATCGCCAGTGGATTCTGTACTTGCTTACTCTGGACTGAGGGTCTTGGTGTCCTGTTTGATCTCTTTGGGGTAGTTGTAAAGCAAACAGTGTAGACGGTGTAGGCATTGGAAGCCGTTCACACCTCCTGTCTGAGTGTCTGCATGCCTAGCTAGCCCAGAGCACAACACCCGCATTGTGCTCCCCCGGCTCAGAATCCAAGGAAAGAAAGGAAGCGAAGTCTCTGCATTGAGTTCTAGGACAGCTGAGGTATGTGGCGGTAAAACTTGTTTTCTTGCACGGTTTTTCTCACCAGCAGATAGGTTTCAGAGATAGAGTGAAACCGAAAACGCCACACAGCTCACATAGATGTGCGCTCGTACGTGGAGGAAATGTTTGCTGCCAGTTGCTTTGTAATAACAGCACAGACCCTGAATTACAGGAGGAGTTGCCTTGTAGTGACTATTTCCTTGATTTGTAGCCTCTGAGGAACAAAGCTGTTACTGTGGATTGAAACTGGTTAGTGAAATCAAAATCCCTAGTAAGGAAATGACCGAGTAAGGATTAGATTGTGTTTCAGCAATATTTCTCGCTTGCTTACCCAAGTCGGTTCTTTTGTTGTTTTGCTGTTCTGTTACCAAAAATGCCAGATCATTTATAATACTATTGAAAATATTTAATTTTAAAATGTTTGGTAGAAAACTTTGAATAAAACCCCTATCTACTAAAGATGAAATCTGCCATGAAATTTAAAAAAAAATGGTAACTGAGATCTGCTTCTAAGAAATATATTTTTATTCGCTACCTTTTTTCTCCAAAATCTGGATGACATGGGAGTCTCCTTAGAACTTTAAGCATAATTTGCACTGATAGACATGAGCAGGAACCACCTGTTTCACAGATGTAACAATGTTAATATGCCCTAAGATAAGAGAATTCGAAAGCAGCAGGAGAACAGTTTTCAAAACTTTTTTTCTAAATGTCAAAATAGTCAAGATATAAAGATACAGACTAAGAATCTCAGTGGAGTGAACCACGTTCAAATGTTTAATGATGAGGATATGCCTTTGAAAGTCGTTGGGGATAAATGGTGAGGTGACAGCCTTGTACTTCATTATGTTTTAACATTCAAAGGAAAACTAAATGAACAGACTTAGTCCTGAGTCCAATTCTATGAGTAAAAATCCCAGCTAAGTAAGTGATTCTATATGAACTGAATGAAAGGTAGAGAAAGTCTCTCTCATTTAATGTCCTTCGAAGCTTTACACTGCCAAAGGACTTCTTAGAATTGATACAATGCAAAGACCCACAGCAAGCACGTGATCTCCTATTAAGTTTTCTTGGGGGAGCTTTTAGAAGAATGAGAAGTAGAAATACCCAGGACACACCTGACCGCTGTGCCTGTTCCCTTGATGGTGGCACCAGATGAGACAAGACCCTTAGCCCATGGGAAGAATGACACACACTTTATACCTGTGCAGTTTCTTTCCCGTGTTAGTAACCTTTTAAGGTGACATGCTATAAACAGATGGACGTTTTAAGTTCAATTCCGCACAGCACAGCTACATAGTTAATAATGCAACAATTTTGCGAACCGAATTCAGAGACATAATCTCTCTCTCAAGGCTTTGCACCTTTGCTTGCGGCGATATTTAGACCCCTGTCGTCTGCCACTCTCCAACTCTTCTGCAGGCATTAGCAAATATTTTGGAATTTCCAAAACACACTGTATCAGACTTTTTTTTTTTTTTTTGCAAATGCAATGCCCCCTGACGAGTCATTTCCTTTAAATCTCCCCTGCAATGGCAGCTGTTTTCATATGCTCTTCAAATGCAGCTCAGACATCCCCCCAGACTGTCCCCCACCCTCTTTGGCTACATCTGAATCTTACTTCGGACTTTCGTCTACTGCACCACATGCATCTGTCCCTGTTCACCACCTTCCAGACTTTTCTGACCTCTGATTCTAAAGTATTCTGTCCGGTGTCCAGAATCTGGCATTCAGACATTGTACTGGTAACCTCAGACTTCAGTATTTTCCCATTAGTTACTGTAAATATAGACTTGACCTAGAACTAGAAGTCTTAATACTGCCTTTTATCAAAGAAACTCAAAACACTGGAAAACAACAATGAGCCTTTCATTTCTGGTTTGAAAATATGGCATCGGGATCCCAATTTCATAAAAGTTACAGCTGTCCTATCCTAGATCAAAATTTCTGGAGGGAAAATTGTACAATACATATTTTAAACAAAAAAACTTGAATGTTTTAGTATATAGATAATAGTATTTTTCTATCTATAGCTATTATAAAATTTATAGAAAATATCCCCATTAGAAATTTGCTATAGAATCAGACTATTTAAAACTAATGTTGAATTGATGATGATTAGCAGCCGATTATAAAGTAAGACACTTTGAAGTCGTTTTTCGTACTGAAATCAGGAGAAAGGTCGGGAACTGGAAGGAGATTAAATAATTGAAACAAAGTCCACAATAGCAGCATGTCTTTTAATGTTCCTAAATAAACCCAAAAGGTGACTGGAAATCACCAGTTACGTTACACTGCTTATGTCACCCTACAATCTGAACACCTGGATGAGGAAGAGAATATTCCTTTAGTGTCACTAGTGATGTAGATAGAGTTCTGGTTATAGAGAATTCCTACCGTCTGTTCTATGTCAGATAACATTATTGTTAATTATTATTTTTAAATAAGCCTGATTTCAATAGCCTTTTTATGAAAAAATCGCCACAACCAAAAATAAGAACATACCCATAATTTTATTAAGAAATTATAAATATGTAATTCTTTGTCTTTAAGATATCTGTGTTGAAAGCAGAAGTTCTAATTAATACTGTATGAATTATTGTATATAAAGTAGAATCGATGAGGAAGTTTAAAATATCCTGATGTTTGGAATTAGAAAGTGAAATATTTAGGAAATTATTAAAATTCATATTTCTAGACATTACTGCATTTGCTCCAGCATCGAGCTTTCTAATTAAAGTAAGATAAACACCAATTCTTAATTATCATACTGTCCTTTAAAGCTTCATTTTGGCTATCTTCCAGCTGATTTTAATGTACAGCATGCTATCATTAATAGCTAAAGTTGGAATTGGTTCTGTTCATCTTAAAGACTAATCATGTTTAATCAAATTATTTTGAATTGTATATAGTAATTAGATTTTGGAAACCATGATTTTATAATATGCCTGTACTGTTTCTAGCATTTTCTATTTTAGGAAATTCATAGTATTTTTGAAGGCCTAAGTTACGTCTAACTACATTGATTGTGTCATGAAATGAGCTGCACTTTTATAAAGAAGAGTTGTCATATACGATTGTATTAGGTAATTTCCTAAACGTTCCTCCAACTAATAATTTAATTATGGATATGCCTATTAAATCCTAAACTGCCACTGTCAAGTGGAAATAATACAGGTAAACATGTGTTCAAAATGTGTTCATCTGTATTATTTCTGAAAAACTCAAGACGTGGATTTAGTTAAAAGGAAACACTTCTGTAACTATTGAGTTCTAAATATTGGCAAATAAGAACCCTCATTTCAGCTTCGGTTCAATTAAGATGATATGTGTTGGATAAATGACAGTGAACCAGCAAAGATGGGTTTTTATTCTGGTGTTTTCAGTGTGAGGTATCCATATGGAACTGTACCATGCTGTACTCTACCCTGGTCTTCAAAACCGAAATATACTAGTTTGCCAAAGGAATTTGGGCCAAAAAAAAAAAAACCCCGTGGTTTTCTCTTCCCTACACAGGTGAGGTAGGCATAGGGTCAGCATTAATTCTCTACCTTAGCGATGCATTATTTGAGCTAAAAAGGTAGAAAGCTTTCACTTTCCTGAATCCAATCAAGGGTCTTACTTACAAAACAGAAAGAAAAGAGAATGCCCTGGTAATGTTCTCATTGTATTTTCTAATTTTTCTTTAGATCATAATTTAGGGAAATTTATTTTTAATAAAGAACATTATTTGAAAGTTTCATCAGTGACATTTTGGGTTTTTTTCCTGTTCATTTATCTGTTGCCTGCTTATTAAATTTTTGATTTTATGCAATCAGAAATTCAGTTTTTCTGTGTTCCCTCTGAGATGTTTTCCCAGTGGGTAAATTACAATTCAAAAATACTCTCCTATAACGAATTATATCCTCTTCTTTGAATGGGAGAGTTCATCCAATCCATTATTAGAAATAATTCTTCTTTTCAGGTTCCTTGTCCCAGTACTTTTTTTCTGGAATAGTTGAATTTGAGGACAGGGGCAACATAAACCCGTCAGGTTCCAAATCCTCTGATGTGCTAGTCAATTCAGCATCCCTCAGAGATGAATGCAGCTGCAAGGATCAGCCCCACGGAGTCCAATGAACTATAGCAAAAATAGGCTTTTAGCCAAGAGCTGGGACGCCTGTGAAGATCCTCTAAGAGTACAAGCATGGGGTCCCGTGAAGAATGGCAGGTTTTTTAAATGCACACACCAAAAAACATACTCAAATGAGACTTTGGCTATGTGGAGACGA